TTTTTCGCTGTAAAAAGAAGTTTTCTTCCCACACACAACAGACACTAATGTTTTTGTCACTTTTTATGGAATCAAATTCAAAATAAGGTCGGTACTTCCACGCTTTAAACGCTGTACGCTCATACTCTCTCCCGCACTTGATATATTATCCATTGTTGATCTGCACACAGCTTTTGTCACAAACATCGCACTCGCTTATGTCACTGTCATGAGACATTCTTGCAAAAAAATCACGGTTTTAGTAACGTAGTAATGCAGTAACGCAGCGTGCTTACGGGAAAGTAACGGTAATCTAATTACCGTTTTTGCAATAGCAATCCTTTACTATACTCATTACTTGAAAAAAAGTAATCGGATTACAGTAACGCGTCGCGTCACAAGTAATGCGTTACTGCCCATCTCTGCTCAGGCCACTCCCACACCAACCCTATTCAGACTAAGTGTCTTGTTTGCATTACCTCTGAGCAATTTGCAACCATTTTGTTCTCCAATGTGTGCCTTTTTCTTGTATATATTTCTCTTATTTTGTATATATCCCTCTTGGTTGTATTTATTGATTGTATATATTTCTCCTGTCTAATATTTATATTTTAATCTGGACAGTTGGTGTGGAGCACCTACAATTTAATTGTAGGTGTTGAAATAAGCAACTAAGTACATACAAGATATAATCATGAATGAAACCCAAAAAACTATGAGTAAAAGACCAAAGAACATAAACATAAAGAAACCAACAGAGAAATATCCCCAAAAAGGTAAAAAAAAATACAAAACTCCAAGACAGTATGAGTGCAATGAAATTCCAATAACTCCACGTTTACTTTCATTTCGACGTTTGCAAATATATTTTATCATTTTCATTGGAAATTTGAAATGTAAAATAACCCAGTGCAATTTAATATTTGTGTTTTAACCTCCTATGACCTGGCGTCCACATATGTGGACATCACATTTTGGGTTATCTAGTTAAACCAAAATACTAAGTTTAGCTCTACAAGGGCCTGATATCCACTTACGAGGACATTGTACTGCCTCTGTTTTATTACAATTTAAAACAAATGTCTTCATATGTGGCTCTCATTTTTCTTAGAAACAAAAATCAGGTAAAAAAAAAAAAATCTGGTGAATCTTGGTTTTACATTCATCGGGTCTCAATCAGCCCAAATATCAAAGAGAAATTAAAAATGCATGCCATGGAAGAGTTCGGGACTTAAGAGGTTAAATTACATATGTAAGAATGCCTTCAGGAGTTTGAAAATACAAAATGGAATGAAAGAAAGGACAGTTTTGTATTTCTTTGTAATAAATTCAAAGGAATGCTAATGGAGGTCTAAATCGACTGACTCAGGAAATAAACCATCAATTCCTAACAAAATCAGTTTGCTTTCCTGAAATCCAGTATTCGTATCTTTTCCTGTGCAAGAATATTCAAAACTGCCTCATATTTTTTTAAATGCCTCTCTGTGCAAAATGGGTTTACAAACATGAACAACTTCCTGAGAGGAAAAATTAAAAAAAAATTAAAGGTTTGTTGCAAAAAAAACCACATTTGATCCTCACATCTTTTCAGTGACTGGTGTGAGCCTGCCTGTTGCTGCAGATCTTCTCAAACCTGGGTTGCAGTTTTGCGACAGCCACTCTGAGTTCATTTTCAATGTCCAGCTTTGATCTGTACTTCGTCTTGATTGAAGCCACAGCAGAAAAGCCTACCTTGCATAAGTAGGATGTGGCAAAAGGAAGAAGTATTGCCAGGGCTCTCTTTGTCCACTCCAATCCAAAATGCAGCCAGGGTCTTTGAATTAAACTGCAGCCTCTTAATTGAATCAGAGGTAAGGTCAATGAACTGTTCCTCCTCAGATGTGTGTCAGCAGGGGGTGTTGCACTGAAGGGGTCACGGATCCAGTCATTCTTTGCAATCTTGCACCAGGAAATATCTCTGGAAGTGTTTCTGAAGGGCAGACATGTGTTCTTTTATGCATGGGATCACTGTATTCTGCAGCTTGTTATCTTCAATGAATGATTTCAAATTCTCAAACGAGTCCATGTTTCCATCTTTCACTCGCTGCTTCCACATTTCAAGTTTTCTGACAAATGATGTGACTTTATCTGTCAGATGTGGGAGGTGAGTGTTTGTGCCCTGCATCTGCAAATTTAGTTCATTGAGTTTCAGGAACATGTCACTGAGGTATGCCAGTTTCATGAGAAAGTTGTTACAGTTAAATTTGTTGGTAAGATCACTGCC